TGCATAGTTTGTTCAGAGGTCATATTTTTCAAACATTATTATAGAAAAATAGTTGATAATCAGCTGTGGCGATAGAAAATGAGACTCTAGCACCTAGCATAAATCTTCTGTTTGGGCCCTTAAGAAGCTACTTTTCCTAACCAACTTGAATTCTTCTGTTATCTTTTTTTATCCAATTAGTTTCCAAGACCTGTCAGTTTTTCATGTCTGATTCCTTTTGAATTTAACCATTCTTCTCCATTCATGTTGATACCACTCTAGTGCACATCCTCATCTGATTTCCTGTGATAGTTTAACTTATTAAGAATTGAGTGCTTCAAATGAGTGACAGTTTGTGCTTGTTTCATTGATATCATTAATAAAAACAGAATTTATAGGTAGATGTGTTGTTTGGGAGTTTGCCTGTACCATTGTTAAAGATATTTCGTAGATACAATTTGTATATTCAAAATTTATCAGTTCATTGAGTTTCTGGTGCTAACCTAGCACTTAAACTCTTGGTTACAGATGAAACTGTTAAAGATGGAGTCACCCTGTACCTGCTACAGTCAGTAAATCAGTTACTTCTAACAGCCACAAAAGAGCGAATTGACTTCTTACCTCACTATGACACACTGGTTAAAAGTGGCATGTATGAATATTATGCAAGTGAAGGACAGAATCCATTGCGTAAGTATTCCATTTATACTAACTTTGATAAACTATTATTCTCCTTTATCCCCTGGCCTTGTGTCATGTTCCTTCACTTTTTTATAAATCTTCTCAATCTACTTTATTAGAAGACTGATCATTCATTTTGAGCTTGTTACTCAACTGCATTATCACAATATATTTCTTTTTCTACCTAAGTCATCTTTAGAGTAAAGATACTCTTTATTAAAGCTAACTTACTAGTAGAACTCATTTCTTTTCAGCTTAGAAGGGATCTTGTACCTATACATCTTTCCATCTCTTATATACTACCCCCTCCTGATTTATTCTTCCTGGCCTCCTACATACCTTTCCCAGCTAAGAAAATATTTGTTTTATCTTACAAGTTTATGTGGCTAAATTGCGTAAGTAAGTAGTTTGTGTTCTTCTCATGTCTTTTTCATTTCCTTCTACCTGTATTACTTGCTGGTTTCTGTCCCACCTCTAGACTGTTTGCTAGTAATCTTTAAAAATCAGTTGATTTACTGAATACTTCTCTCTGGACCCTCTCAAAGTGTTTAATACTACTTAGATGTTCATTGTAAAGTTTGCTATTAATATTATTTTTCTCATTATATATGCATTATTATTTGCAGGAAATTAGAAAACATACATAAGCAAAAAAAACATAAAGAACATTTCTACCACCCAGACATAATCACCACTAACACTTTGGTGTTTATTGTTTCAGACCTTTTCATATTGTCTGATTTTTCTAAAATCATTTTATATGATATATACTTCTTTAACCTACTTTTTTGTTTAAAAATAAAGTGAACGTATTTAATATATATGTAAATTTTTTTTTTTTTTG